GGGTTTATTGGAGAATTGCATAATATTGTTGCTTGTTCAGGATATTGGGTATCAGGTATCAGAACGTACCATCTTGTGTAACTCAGGGACATAGCTAATGATTTATCTTAATCCATTGCTGCCGTGTAATTGCTCTGTCCACTTCAGTTTATTTTCAAGAATTTTGTTTTCTTCATGTTATTGCTGAGTAAGGAACAACATTTTCTGAGAGAACATTAGGATGGGTTGAGGAGTCTTCTGATTAGCTAACAGAAAGATCACTCCTACTCGGTAGGTCAAAGATATAACATGAATAAAAATTCTGGATATTTTTACTCTCCACAACAAAATGAGTTGAAAGAGTAATTTTGTGGATTTTGGGTAATCCTATCAGTTAAGTTTAGAGACGCACCACATGGTATATGTCAAATTTTTAAGGGAATAATGACATAAAAAAATTGAACTTGGAATATTATTAAAAGTTCCAAAGCAGTGTACTGTGGAACATGCAGTCAAAAAGCATGAAGCCTATGTATTGCTACGGTTAAGGTATACGATAGGACTGCACCGACTAGGAGAAAATTAAAGATCATAGAGTTTTAGGCGATGAAAAACTACATGCATTGCTATAAAAATTGATTTGCATAAGCGAGCCTGTTTAAGTTAAAGGAGGAAAAGTTGGCGCGCAGAATGCCGTGCAGGGACTGAGTCCCCACGAGCCTCCACCAACTAAGTCCAACCCCCCTCGCGTCGCAGCGAACCATTTAGCTGCACGGGAACCCAACATGAACTGTTTTGGCGCATGTAGCTCATGACGTCATGACAAAATTCTTATAAATGCACTGTAGTAAAATGAATTCCTGTATTCTAATTTGTATGAAATTTTAATGAAAAACGCATTTATCAAATGTTCATTCTTTAAGTACACGATGTGATCGATTTTACCATATACGTACCATAGTTTCATGAGAAATACATGGTATATCCATACTTGCGCATCGCTGCCCTCTCCCGGCAAATTTGACAGTTCTTTTGTTACAGTTCTCGTTAGTTCCAAAGGTGAAGGTTGTTTGCAATGCTAACTGCGTTTCCGATTTTTTTCCAACTTTCCAGTGAAATCAATCTCACTGAAATCGTTACAGTATCGAGGATAACATGAAACTCAGTGAAATACAATAACTGTGTTCCAGTTGTAGAATTTCGTCTGTGGTTCGTCACTTCAACTTTAAGGAAACTCATTTTGTATTTCTAAGTGTAGTCAGTGGCGATATAGAGGCACCGGTAGGGAAGCTAGATAATTAGGAGGGTCCAGGGACGGAGTCCCCAGTAGGGAAATATGGCAATCGGGAGGGGGTCCGAGTCCATAGCCCCTGGGTTAGGAGGGTTTTTTGGTTCATACAGCGATCCTACTGGTTGTTCGTGCGTTTAAGATGCGGTTCACTCGCTCGTTCGCTCGCGCAACACCGTATCGAATCATCTGTGGCTGAATTTTCTCTCATGTTTTTACATTTTCCACTTTCTTTGTCATCTGAAATACTATCCTTGGCTTGGATTTTCAATTTCTCACATTCTTTTGCTTTTTGAAATGCATGGTATGAACGAAATCCCCCCCCCCAAACCCCCGATTCCCCACGGGATCCTCCAACCTTGTTGGTGGGAGTCGGGGACTTCGTCTCTGACGGGTGTGGTCCTATCATAAACATTTACCATTGCTACTATTATATGGTGAACATTTTTTGCTTTTGATTTCCCTAGTGGTAGGTCTTATTGAAAAAGCCTTTGTACATTTTGTGAATCATTTATGGTGGATGGGCATATACTATATAGCTAATGATTGTTGAATTCTTGGTTCCCTATTTATTTTATGGTATTTGTATTGATACCCCATGTCTCATTATGTGCTGAATTTGTTTTCAGGATGTCTTTGAGGCACAAGCATCTAGCATTAAGCAAGGTCAGAAAGTGGTGATTGTTGATGACCTTCTTGCAACAGGAGGTAAGCATAATTGCATCTTATCCATTAATTATTAGTATATTTACAATAGTCCAATAATAGTTTGACATGTATGAACTGGGTTAAGAGATCATTCTTTCATTTTTTTTTGTCACTGTATATGGCTGTTTGGTATAACAATTTATCTTTTTCTGAATAAGTGAATTGGTGGAAGCCTTCCTCCCAAAATGTATGATTTCCACCATCTACTGTTTTGTATATTTCTACTGGTAGGTGTTTCCTTATGTAAAAGAAATGATTTTCTTTGTGTTGAATTGTATAAGATAGGCATAAACTGGACGCATAATATTTCTTCGGTTCATGTACATCTTTGACATTCCTCAGAAGGGGAATATATTTTCATATACCTGCTGCTTGTATGACTTGCAGGAATGTAAATGGATGTTCGCATCTGAACTGAGGGCTGCACTATCATGTCTGACCTGAATCTCAAATTCAAAAAAGACCTAAGTTTCATGTTGGGCCTGAAGATTATTTTTTGACTATAGATTTTGGAATAGTTTCATG